TTTTAACATAACACAGATTGCTGCCCCTCTTATTGGGACGGGGTCGCGCCAAGGCTTTTGGGTGAGGGGGAGGGCGTACTAGCGCTGATATTTTTCAGAGCTCTACTCCTGGCATTATTCAAAAAAAATAGCATACCTCTATGCCCCATACTGGTGTGGGACCGTAGACTTGGAATAATCCAGATACTAATAATGGTCCGAGTGTGCGAGCCAAACTTCCGGACATCAACATGATCCCTTGCATAGTTCCCTGAAACAGTAGATAATGAGCAATTTCTATCACGGCAGGTGTGAGGATTGATAATTAGAACTGAGCATGATATTCCCAGGCCTAATTGGGCGAGAATAAGGCTTTCACCAATGGTTAATTTATTCTTAGGATGAGGCGCGCATTCTACTCCCATTCAAAATTGTAGTGACTTACTGAATGCGATGTGGCCTATACAATGACTTGCGAGGCCAGCCGATGTACAAGTCAGTGTTTTATCCTCCCAGACGAATCCGGTACCAGATGCTCCGCCCAAGCCAGCCAAGCCTTCACTTTGGAGGGGGAAGGCTTGGTTGGCTTGGTCAGAGCCGATCAGGGATCTAATCTTTCGGGCCCCCCTTGAGAACCTGAACAACGTCCCAGAACGGAATGAAAATCTTTAGCCGCGAGAACTCTCCAAATGTTCTGGTAATAGGTAAGCAGTCTAATTGCACGGGCAAGTATGTCATTGAATTTATCCGTCACCCACGCTGATGGCCCGCGTTAGCGTTGAGTCACCAATCTTTTATTAGTTAGTACGAAACGTTTTGCCACACTTTGAACGAATTGGTGAATGGATCTCAAATGTTTCCTACCCCCTATCGCTGAGAATGTTCTGTGGATTTTCTTTAGACGACTGCTTTACGGCTTTGCAAGGGATCTCAGAACCTGAACTCCTCCTCCCCCCGGCCCCTCCCTCCCCTCCCCCAAGGGTCGTTGTGGTTCTCGACCTGTTCTACATTATGAGTTCCTATGGGACCGCTCTGCCGTAGTCGCTGTAACTGCATTTGCGCTGTGGTGAAGAAGCGACGTGGCCATGGCACGGTGTCTCGTTGGAATCAATCGGCGCTTCGAAAATAGAAATATTTCATTTGAAGATGGGCAAGATAGCGGCAGGCCACTGGAAAAGAAAGATGGCCGTTTGCCCAGTACCCTCTTGTGCAGCCTAACGTGTCCATCATTGTGTTAGCAACAACTCTAGGCTGCACCAGGTACGACCGCTCTAGTCCGAAGTGTCGCAGGAGTTTTCGTCCCGCCTAGTAAGAGGTTAGCGCAGGAGAGAATAGGGCAGCGCGACTTCTCATTTTTATGGACTGGAGAAACTGGAGAAAAATGGTTGCGGCACGGTTCTGGATGTTTTGCTTGGACGAGTTGTAGCTTCTGCAGGTTAACTAAGCCCTCACCTGTCTTCGTGCTCCAAGAATCTTACTGAACAGCGTGTTCATTGAGACATTCACGATTGGGAAGCACGCTGACAATAGCGTACAATACAGTACAGCGTAAAGCCAGAAATTGACCTGAACACCAATTTTTTTCTGAAAAAGTTATAGTTTTCACCCAACATTCAGCACGCAGTATTTTAATTTTTTTCAATAAAATCACGATTTGTGTCCTGCTTGTTACTGCTGACTCAGTAGATGGACATTCTTCCTTTGCAAAGGCGTCGAAATTCGCGAGGGAGATTGATCCCCCCCCACCTTATTAATCGTTTAGCAGAACAAAATGCTAGGAAGTGATAAATACTTCCTAGCATTTTATTCTGCTTTGCTTTTGCTTTGTCGTTCGAAGCCACCTTGTATGGAAATGTTCGCCGCTGAATGTAGTAGTAGGGGTCAGAGCGGAAACGTTTAAGTGCTAGTCTATTCGTTAGTAGAGGAAAAGAGGAGATTCCGTTGGGAACGCCTCAAATAAGACTCTCCCCTCCACAGCTGATTTTAAGCATAGTAACTTTATGCGAAGAAGAGGGACTGCGCGCTCGGCTGAAAGACCAGACAAAGAATTCGAGCACATAGCAATGCATCACATTCACTTGCAATCAGCACAGGCATGAGCCTCATGGACTAAAGTGATAAACTTGTTTCTCACTCTCTGCACACTTTTGAACCGCGATAAGTGCACATCCTTGCTAGCTGGAGTACCTTGGGTCACAATAGGTAAACCTACACCTTCCTACCCATGAAGTTCGCTACGAACCAAATGATTCCTCGCCCCCAAAGACACTGTGCGATATTCGGATGGATGAAATAGGTGGGGAGGGACTTTTAGTACTACCGTCTTAGCCCTCTCTTCGGAATTTCCCGAAAATTTCCTGCTTTTTCCTCCTCAAATCGTTACTTGTTGAGCATGGAGCGGGGGAGGGGGGAATCGCAAAAAGCCAACGACCGGGAAAAATTTTTCTC